TCCACATTTAATGTTGCCTCGAAACATTTAGTATCTTATAAGAAAATTTTATGTAACTAATATTTGACATAAATTTTTTTTTAATACCTACACTATTACGTAGTCAACTACATCATGGCACGTGCTTTTCACTAGTATTCATTAAAAACGAATGTGAACGAATATGAAAAATGAATTTATGCGTAAAACATACTCTTATCTAGTATAAAGTATTTCCATTGAATTTTTCGACCACTTTAGACAGACAAGTCGTAACAAGCTCTCCAATGATGGATATGATATACGACTCACCTGTTGAATTTGTTTTTGATATTTTTCGATCCATAATTTAGGAACAGAGCCTAATGTTAGGAAGGGTTAAAATTTGAAAAGTTTCGAATGAACTCACGCTATAAGAGATTAAACTCATAACACTCAATGAAATAAAAGAAGTCTACAAATCCCACTTAATCTTTCATATCCTTTCTTACCAAATAGAAAATCAACGCACGTCTTAAAAATATAAACTGATCAAATCATGATCGAAAGAAGCAAATAATTCATATATATTTACCAATAAAAATCTAAAAAAATATTTAATAAATACTATTCTAAATAATTTGACGATCGATTTTTCCAAACAATTGAAAGCTTTGGTGGAAACACGCAAACGATAATATATCACTATATGTTATTGTCTTAAAATACTATTTGACGTGAACGTCAATTTTCTATATAACATTTCATTGTGAGTGAGGAATCCCATCTAAAGTAAGAAAAATCGACTAAGAATTATGAAGGTCCAAGGAAATTAGATATAATTCATATCCATGTTTTGCTTAGTTTCAAGAATATACTTGTATATAGATTAGTTTATAAATAAATTAATTTTAAAAAATATTTATTTTGATCATAACATCTATTTCATGATCAAAATGAATAATTTTTTTCTTATAAATATTAATAAGTAATATATGAAAACATACGTAAAAATAAAAAAATTAACTACTTTTAAGCTTAGCAAAATATGTAGCGTCTCTAACTATTAAAATAAGTAATTTATTTTTAGATCTAATCAATACAAATTATCTATTATAAAATTTACTTAATTATCATAATTAAATTTATTCAAACTTGCATTAAATGAATTGTTTAAATTGACAATAATATA